CATGATACATTGATATTGTAAGTGCACAAGAGCAGCTATGGCTGCCTGAATTGTTACCGGTGGATGGGGACCCTTCTTCTGGCTCAGGTGATAGGAACTGGTGTTTAGAGATTCACAAGGCTTCTGGGTTTGGCTGTGTAAGTTGTGTAAGCCAGCAAGATGGAGAAGGCAAGATGAAGAGCCCTGTAGGAAAGCAGGTGTGAGCCGAAGCAACTGCTGAAGGAAGGAGGCAGCTCTGTCGCTCACAGTAGGGAGCAAATTCAAGGGGAAGATCGAAAAAGAGAGGAAATTTGGGAGGGGGATCCAGGCAATTGCAAGCAAGTGCATCCAAAGTTTAGAGAAATGTGTCACTGTAGGAATGGGTAGCAGTTTTTTCTGTTTTTCAGGCATTTCCCTTCTTCTGCCTTCCTCTTTGTTTCCCTAGAGCCAGGCTCTGCTGGGGACCTTGGAGCAGCAGCTGGCAGTGAGTGGCTCAGAAGTTACAAGTTGCACTTGTAATTTTTTCCTATCTAGATTTTTTTTTTCCAAAGTGTCTTCTAGGTGGTTGTAGTTGAGTAGGATGGTCTTTGAAAGGCAGGTTTCCTGTTATCCCATGCGGAAAGACTGATCTGCTAAAGTAGAGTGACACTTGCTTTAAATGGTGACAATTGTATGGTCCATGCTGGCAGATGTTGCATATGTCTTGACCTTTCATTCAAGTGCAAAGACTAAATGCTTTTGCAAGAGTGAAGGAGAGCTTATTTGGAGGTGTAATTGCCAGACTAGAATATGTCTTACTGTACAGTAGGAACATACTAGAAAAAGTCTCTGAAGACCTTTATTTGTACGGTAGTGATAGTACCGTAATAGAAGCGTAGTTTTTCTACTTTCTTGTCAGCATTCATTTGTAAATAAGTCGTAAAAGATCCCAGGATGAATGTACCAGTGATGGATATAGTGTGAAAAGTGAGCTTTTGTTTGTTTGCCTTTAAAATAATTTTTATCTAACATTTCTGTTCCTCACTTAGTAATTGTGCCTGTCATTAAAATCTACCTATTCCAGGAGCTCCTTCCATGGCATTACAGCTCTTTTCTATCTTAATTACTGGAAAACACACGCCATCCTTAATGTGTCGCAGCATGGGAAACACCAGCAAGCACTGGCTCTATTTAATGGCTTCCACTGCACTTTTTCCTGAGGGATAGGTGTTTATTATTTTATTTGTAAAAGAGAATTAAACAGCACAGCTAGACTTCATGAAATGTATTACTTAGAGGTGTTTCTGTTGCTTTTTAAATATTTAAAAAAAGAAAAATTCTGGTCCTTTGCAGAAGCTGGCAAGAAAGCACTGTAATTTCTTTCAGTGGGGGTCCTGCTTGGGTGGTCATAGTGAACTGAAGTTGCTGTTGCACAGCAAAACTCAGTTGTTTATCTGTTTTAAGCCCAACACGTTTTAAAGTGTGTGTGTATGTAAACTGTGAGACTTGAAACATCTGTTTCAAAAAATGTCCCTGATTAGATGGCAGTCTAAGAGAGGGTCCACTGGTGACCAGGGGCTGAAGTAATTTTATCTGAGTGTTGGGGCTGCTTGGTAGTTCACAAGCCAACCAGATTGGAAACTGTGGGTGTTATTTGCAAGTCTATGTTGAAGCTGGTAGTGGCCAGTGGGTCAGTTCTCACTCCTTGAAAATATGGCTGAGTTGGTGTTTCTCTCTGCTTGTTGGTGTAAGTAGCCCTTCAGAATACAGATTTTGGCCAGCCTGGGCTAAGGCTGTAGTGAATTTCCTGTTGACTTTATGGATGTACCAGCTTTGTGTGGTAAAGAAACTGAGATATGAAAGAGCACTTAGGTGGCTAGGAGTCCTTTAGAAATATCACTGATACTTAACTATATGCGTGCATGTACTCCATAACCCTTAAGGAGTATTTTTCAAGACCCCTTTTTTGTTTAAAAATGATCACTCTTTCAGTGACAAAACTAACTGTTCACAGTCATCTACTGACTGAAACCTCTGATAGGTATGTTTCCAACAATAGATCAGTAAAGATAATGTAAGCATCTATCTCTTGCAGGCTCCTGGCATCCATCAGATAAAATCAGTTCTGGAAGCAGAGGCAGAAAGACTGGTTGCTGTGGGGCAGCTAAGAGTATGTTTGCTCTGCCTCAGTTACTGTGTTATGCAGTACAGGTCTGGTCCTCCAGCCTGTTCATGCTTATTGAATTTTAGCACATGCTTTTCGACACAGGTGTCTGTGTAATTTCAGTTATGCTCCCTTGCAGGCATCTTCTTCAGCTATATAGCAGTATTTGGGGAGCACTGAGTTAACATGAGGAACCTCTGCTTTGTCTCATTTTGTCTTTAGGAATTTCATCTGGACGTCTTTGACACCTAGAGGTGGATTTGGGACCATCATTTGTGAGGAGCCGTGTGTGTTGCTTCTGGCAGACTTCTTGGCCATGGGTCCTGTTCTTTACTACCATTTTCCCTTGTCCCACATAGCATTACTTTGTTTACCTCCCACACATCCCTAGAAGGCCAAGCACAGCCTGCTTTCCCCCACACCTCACACATATGCAAGGACAAGTCTGTGTGCTTCCCAGCTTGCGTTGGTCTCTTTTCGTCATAGCTTGAGAACGTGTCCCTGCCCCCTTTTTTTTTTCTCCAGTCTTCTATAGCTTCAATGAACTTTTTTTTTTCTCTGTTGCCATAGTTATGCCGCCTTTGATGAATAAAGCTAAGTCCTTCCCTTACTGTTGGAGTCAATTCTTAGCGGTACTGGTTCTGGCAGTAGACCCGTCCAATGTTAGTCTTCACATAAGCATCATGTCCATATTTCTGGGGCTCTTTCTGTGTTTGTTTCTGTTCCAGGAATACTGTTATCTATGTAAAAATAGCTCATAGTCATCTTGAAAATCAAACTCAGCCTTGCAGTATGCAAATCTGGCATTCAAGTCAGTGGTAATTAGGCCACAACTATTCCAGACCTTAAATTGATCCTTGACGATTTTAATCTGGCCATCAGTCAAAACTGGGAGGGTATGCCCTGATCACTGATCACTTCTCTCTGTTCTTCTGAAAGTCTGTTTTACTGTCTTCTGGGTACTCCGACTCCTACATACAGAGGATTTCAGAACATGGTATTTACTTCCTCACATTTTTACGGGAGGAAGTACAATTTACATGTGTCAACTGAGGCAGTGCCCAGGACTGTGTTGAGAGGCAACTGGTGGTGTAAGGAAGAGCCTGCCTGCTATTGTAAGCATGTGCTGAAGTTTTTGCCTTGCCTTCTTCTCGTTTCTCAGTATAAAGCTTTCAGGCTGCTCTGGGGATGTGCTGTAGGAAGAAACCTCTGGGAGCACATGGGTATCGAAGTGTGGGTGTAGCATGTGGGTGCTCAGCCACCTGGCCTGACTTGATGTGGACTTTAGTCATTGAAGGTCACTTGATTGTAACAAATCATAGGCAAGAGGTCTGAAAACAGTGTGTTATATCCAAGTTGATGCAGGAGTCACTGCACTTAACTGTTTTGGGATTTGAGGCGGGGAGTTGTGTGTCCTGTGTTCGGCTGGGATAGGGTTAATTTTCACTAGAAGTCAAGAGGAGACACAGCTGGGCCAGCTGACACAAACTGGCAAAACAAACGGGGTTTTGATACCATGTGCCATCATGCTCAGTTTTGAGGGGGGGAGCTGGCTGGGGGGAAGTTAATCGTGGCTCAGGAGCACACTGGGCATCGGGCAGTGAGAGAGTTGCTCTGTGTATTCCCTTGCTTTTGTATATTCTTCCTGTCAGTGTTGTTGTTGTTACTGTTTGCTTCCTTTGCTGTTCTGTTAAACTGTCCTTATCCCGACCCAGGAGCTTTGCCTTTTTCTTCCTATTCTCCTCCCCACCCCAGTGGGGGGAGGGGTGATAGACAGCTGCGCCGTTCTTTGTTGCTGGCCAGGGCTAAACCATGACAGCCCTTATGCACCCAACGTGGGGCAAGAAGGGCTGGGATAACAGCAGGGCTGACCGGAACATGTTAAAACAATGTTCTTATAATTCATTGCACTTCAGAAACTTTTACCCAGCATAGAGGCCACAGGAGAAACTAGTAAATTTTCAGGTTTAAATCTCAAACCAATTTGCATCCCAGCTTCACAGACTTAGAGGAACATAGATACTATTCTGTAACCAAATGGTATGACTGGCCCCGTTTGTAATATTTGTTTAGGAAAAAATTATTTCTTGTTGGATATTATTCAGAGGAGTTTTTGCAAAGCAATTTCTAGACTCTTCCCAGTGGAGCAATCATGGCCGGTTACACTTATGATAAACTGATGTTCAGAAACCAGGAACCGTCAAAGGATTAAATACTTTGGGGAAACCTAGCATTTGTTTTGATAGGAGATAAGATTTTCATCATTATTAGTCAGGGTCTGCACACTTAAAAGTGAGTAGCAGATACAGCTGTCACTGAGTTCGATTTGGAGAATTGCAGCTTCTGCATTTCCATCTTATATATAGATATTTCTAGTTTAATTCTGAGCTCTGTGGTAAATAGGAAGTTCCTCAGTAATTTTGCTTTGTCTCCTGAAATGACATGCATGTGGTTATTCACAATTGTTTCTGGACATCACTGTGATACTTTTGTTTTTCTTTCAGCAAGAGCTTTCAGTTTTAGTGGCTGGATGTTTGCCTTTGGATGTAGATGAGGCAGGGCTGAGAAATATCCCTTTGAAAATAGATGCCGTCTGAGAAAAGGGCTTTGCCGAATTTATGGATAGAAGAAATCAATGTTGTAGTATTTCTTGGTTTGTATTTGTCTTGTCTATGTGATTTTCTGCAAGGTAATATCTTGTTAAGCAAACAAATCATTTTAGTGATTATCGTAAATCAGGCTGATGTCAATAGAAGCAACATCCTTAAAAGCCACAGCTGTAAGACTTTCTCCATGGAATTTGGTTTCTAATACCAGCTTTAAAATATCCTCAAAGCTGTGATTAGTTGCTGCAGTGATATTCTTCTTCTTCTTTCAGAATGAGAAGGCTTTGGGGCATTCTGTGAGTCGCTCTAGTAACATCTCAAAGGTATGTTCCTCGATATAACTCAGTCTTTGATAAACTTGGGGATGCTGGGATTTCTTTCATTTCAAAGCTGGGGTGATGTACGTGACAATGACCAGTAGAAAATGCTTCTTACGACTGTCTTTCATTGATAGTCACTCCTGAAACGTTAGAACTCTCTGGTGTTTTGCAGACTCTCTTTGCAGATCAAATGAAATAGAAGCTACAGTAGGTTTTCTCTTTCACACTGTCACTCCTTAGCTAGGTAGGAGCAAGACAGATGACAGATGTCTGAGGTCTTATCTTGGGGGGGGGGGAAATCACTCCAAAAACATCACTCAAGTATGTTCTTTTGTACCATCAGCTATATGATGTAATGTTCTTTGTAATGTATCCTGTAATAATTATTGGATATGTGGTTAGACGTTATTTTATTGTCACTTCAACGCTGAATTATTGTTAGTGCCATGAAATACATAGTCATGCCCTGACAACACTGTAAGTGTCCTAAAATGTTTACTATTACAGGCCATGATCTTGTGAGGGAAGCATGATGCTCTACCCATTCTAGTCACACTTCAGTATAGCAAATAGACACGTCAAAAGCACAATTGCTTTGCTATGCCATTAGGAAAAAGGTATCTTCTTTCCAGGATAACTTATTACAATACATAGCCTACTCCTACTTCTGCATTACAAATAAGATTTTCAATTAGCTGCAAGCCTGACACCTTTTTGCTTACACAAGTACAATTGCTTAAAACCTTCATGCAAGCAAGGCTGTACTGGTTGACCAGTATTTTTCATGGGGTGCATAAGCCTCAACCCTCACCCACAGCTGGTGTTGCTGGTAATACTGACTTTTAATGAGAGACTGAGTTCTTATGGCTGTGACAAGCTCAAGTCCCTTTTTTCTGTTCTGGGTATTTCAGGATATGGGAAGCTATTCATGCCTATCTCCAGCAGAGGAAACGGTGGCTGCATTTATTTTATGTTTATATGGGCACAGACAACTTTCTGCCAAGAACTGGTAGTGTGGCAGTGCAGTGGGAAGGACTTTGCACTCTGGCAAAGCTCTCCCTGGGGGTGCTGGCAAGTGAGACATCAATATTTGCATTCATCTTGAAACACTGTTCAATGTGATTGCTGCATGTTGCAAAAGCTAAAGTTCTCAAGGGGAGCAAAAGCCAGCTTTGCTTGGTCAATGGGTGAGACTTTTTGGTTGCAATCGTGAGCTTCCCAGAGGTAATGAGGTTCTTACTGCTCCTCTGTTGCTTCTGTGTGATACATTCCCTGTACCTACTCCACTCTGGAGATAGCTTCTAACAAGGGCAGGATCTGGAAGTTCCATCCCCTGATTTGACTCCTACATCTAAATGCTTCTTTGCACATCCAGGCAGTTCAGTGCTGAGCTGCAACAATTTATTTTACAGTTTACAGGTGGATTGGCTGTTGCAAGCAATTTGTAGGACAAAACAGGAAATATTATAGTAGTGGGATGCTGTGTGGAAGCTTAAGTACATGGAAAATTTTTAATTAGTTCTGAGGAAGAGTGCCATTTGTTTTTGTTTAGAATAGCATAACATGGAATGTGGAAAGAGGGGCAGGCCACTTGGGAAGAGTACAGAAACGTGGTGAGAGCATGCAGGGATGCGACGAGGAAGGCCAAGGCTCACCTGGAATTGAAGCTGGCAAGGGATGTCAAAAACAACAAGAAGGGCTTCTTCAACTACATCAGCAGCAAAAGGAAGGCTAGGGACAACGTGGGACCGCTGCTGAATGAGGCGGGTGTCCTGGTGACGGAGGATGCGGAGAAGGCAGAGCTAATGAATGCCTTCTTTGCTTCAGTCTTCAGTGCTAAGACTGGCCCTCAGGAATCCCAGGCCCCGGAGGGAAGAGATGAAGCCTACAAAGAGAACGACTTTCCCTTGGTCGAGGAGGACTGTGTGAGGGATCGCTTAAGCGATCTGGATGTCCACAAATCCATGGGCCCCGATGGAATGCACCCACGAGTGCTGAGAGAGCTGGCGGATGTCATGGATTCACCAAGGGGAAATCATGCCTGACCAATCTAATAGCTTTCTACGATGACATGACTGGCTGGGTAGACGAAGGGAGAGCCGTGGATGTTGTCTACCTGGACTTCAGCAAGGGAGCAGCTTATCCTGGAGGCCATCATGAAGCAAGTGGAAGAAAAGAAGGTTCTCAGGAGTAGTCAGCATGGATTCACCAAGGGGAAATCATGCCTGACCAATCTGATAGCTTTCTACGATGACATGACTAGCTGGGTAGATGAAGGGAGAGCCGTGGATGTTGTCTACCTGGACTTCAGCAAGGTTTTCGACACAGTCTCCC